CTGACTCATAAAGTCATCATCAATTTTTAAACGTTTATTGTATGCAACTGTCACTTTCAGTTCCTGGTCCACCATCTTTGAAAATAACATTCATGAGTTCCACTTCTTTGCTTGTAAGCTGGACCTTGACAGAGAAAAATGGTATAATAATTTTCTATCAAATCAGCTACTATCCTGTTGCAGACGAGTTAAATAAATACCTCTTGAACACTACTGAAAGCAGCATCGCCATCACTGGACTTACTATAGGAATAGAATACTACATCAAGGTAACATTCAAACAGTAGAATACTACATCAAGGTAACATTCAAACATAATCTTTTGATTATTTTTACATGATCGTTGTATGCAGGTTCGAGCAGCTACAAAACGTGGTTTAGGACGTATCAGTAGTAAAAAAGTCACCATGAATCAAGGTACAGCTATTTGTAAACTGAGGATRTATTAAATACCAGGCAAGCTGCACCATATTTTTTCCATCTTAAAGCCCGCAGYWCACGATAGGAAGTGCGTAAGAAAGTTGCTTTGATCACCGTTTTGCTCAATGTGTGTGCACCATTATTTGTTGTTCATCTTTCCYCGCGAGGCGATGTGCAGATTTGTTCTTGTGTTTGATTTTTGTTTTTTGTTTTTTGCCTTTCGTGACCAAAACTGCACCTTGTACGGAGAAACTGAGCAACTTGACAGACCAAGGTCAGCTAGTCAAGTGATAGCTAAATAATTTTTTTTYTGAAGCGAGAAACATTCTTCCAGTATCCGATTTTTATCCAAAGCTTGTGTTAGAGTATAAAGACTTTTTCGTCATTGTCTGCGCCTCTTTTCAAAACTCGAAGAGTGYCAGATTTGTTTTTCTTCTTGAAGAAGCAAACAGCAACCAAGGTGGTGATGACAGAACATCGGCTRATGTTACTGTTCCTGTCCTTGCGTCAATGCTCGCTGTGGCTCTTTTGGTTGTTGCTGTCCTTATTGTGGTATATATACTGCGAAGAARAGGACTCATAATGAGACAAAGCCACTCTGAAGAGGTAAGATAAGTATGACAAAAGAATGGCACACAAATCTGAAACGACGGCTATAAATTCGACAACCGAAAGTGGGATAATCCAAAATAATTACAAGAAGTCATCTTAAAAGTGCTCTTAACATTTCGGAAGATYACTTATTCAGACTCCAATGGTCCAAGATTAACATTTTCAATAAATTAATTGATAGAAAGAAAGAAATGCTCCTGTTTGCAAGGTATACGACCAAGCAATTATTCTTGGTGATTTCACCGGAGAAACCACTGATAATCTTTATGCTTTCGTCCTTGATGAAAMCTTATGGGAAGTACCAAGAAMAAACCTATCAGTTATCAAKASACTTGGTAGTGGAAACTTTGGWTGTGTTGATAAAGCAACGGCTATTGGGTTGGAGGGATRCCCTGGASAGGTGACAGTTGCTGTGAAGACTCTCAAAMGTAAGGCTACGTTTCTCGGATGCAGCAAATTCCAAATGCTTCTTTTATCAGAAAATACACGGAGCCATTACAAAGGCTTGCAAAACCAATTTTTAAAATTGTTGAATTGGCGAAGTCTAGTACTTCAATGCAGTGAAAGCGTCATGATATTCGTACAAATAACAATACTTATTTCAAAGAGTACTTCTCTTATTTAGTTATCTTTAGTTTCTTCTGAGCTGTCATTGATTTTTAAACAATTAGAGAATGTAGCAGAAAAGGATAAAGAAGATTTCTTCACCGAGCTTCGATTGATGATGAGACTTGAACCCCACCCTCATGTTGTTAAACTATTAGGGTGCTGCACGAAGTCCGATGGTAAGTCATACATTAGTTTATTACTCCTGAGAACAATTCTAGATGCTAAAAAGTAGTAAAGTTTGGAAAGCATGTCCCCATCTCTTCTCGAAAAAAGGATAACGTCTTCCTTACTATACTATTGTTATAGGCCCAATGTGCATTATTCTTGAATATTTGCCCTATGGCGATCTCCTTGGCTACTTATGGCGATCACGTGGTCATGAAGATACCTACTGCTCGGGAGATCTTCGTCCAGAGACAAAGTTGGCATCACGTGATTTGTTGAAGTTCGCCTGGATGATAGCTGATGGAATGAGTTTCTTAGCGAAAAATAAGGTCAGTGTTAAAGGTCATACTGGCTTCTTAGGCTTGTCATCGCATTCTTGTGAACACAAGAGCCAGGGAATGACCATCGAGTTAATACTTGTTTTTTTTAGAAATCTACCGCAAAAGAGAGGCCCATGATATCATGGAAAAGTATATTTTCAGTAGGAAAATGTGTCATTTATTCCAATTTTTTTACAGTTAACAGTTCCAAAAGTGCAAACCAGTTGACAARCCTTTCTGCTATGCTGAATTGTGACAATATTTGTTTATGGTTATTTCCAAAACAAAAAGCTGCTGATATTGTCGAACTTATGATAACAAGTTTTTATATTTCAGTGTGTTCATCGTGATCTTGCTGCTCGTAATGTTCTTGTTGGTGAAAATAAAATCTGCAAGATATCAGATCTTGGACTTGCAAGGAGAATCAGAGAGGACGTCTACTCCAGATCAAAAGCAGTAAGTATGGAAAGTCAAAGAGATGCTTTTGTGTTTTCCCTATATTTTT